CTGCACCGAAAAGTAGGTTCGAGCGAAAATGCGAGTACGACAAATGCAACGTCATGCGCGTAGCTCTGCGAATCGAAAACAAAAGTACGATGACATTGCACATCCCGCTGTGAGGTATTCGCTGAGCAAGTAGGCACGCATACATCGTACTTTCGGGTCACGGGGGCAAGAATGATCGGCGTGAGGTAAATTTACTTTAATAAGACTGGTAAAATATAAACCCTTTTAATGTACAGAAATAGTATTTCTGTATAATTTCATGCTCAATCAGTTTATTGTTACGAAACTTATGTGTATAAATTTAGATTTCCGCAATCCAAGAGAGACGAAAATCGAATCTACCAAAAATTGCTTTATAAAGAATTATTCTGACAAAGTAAGCATTTTGAATTCATAGAAATGAAAAATTGATCTTAAGTTATCTGAAATCAGAGAGAGAGAGAGAGAAGAGAGTTATCTAAAATCACTTATTTTAGCCACTTTGAACATGACTGTTTATATTCACAATACGTAATGGCTTTCACAATTTTTGTCTCGCAAATTTTACGCGTTGGCGTCGGGCCGATCGAAACCTATCGAAGCGTTTAATATCGCCGTAGATTCCTGGTTACGAGCAGACACTATCTTTAGAATAGCGCCACGATCATCAGGAGATGCAAATGTAGCACGCTTGTGAAGCCTCGCGCGAAATTAATTGCGTGTGATGCAGATATGTCGCTCCGAGAATTTCTCTCGTTCGTTTCGAACATGGAATTGAAACACATGAGCTGCATATGCATATATTAAATTTAATCGCAGAGAAGCATACGAATTTTCGAAATTCGAATTGACAGCGAAAAAATTGATTACAAAATGTTTATACAAAACAATTTTTTATATGATTGTTATTCTTTTTTATACGGATATTTTTGGATATCATAAATAATTTAACTGTTACGCTAATAATAGCAAAGATTTGTCATAGTAATATTAAGAATATAGTTGTGTTTTACGAGAAAAATAGAAAAAGAGAGGAATTTAACGTTGCTTATTTGAATAGTGAACATTTCTTATATATTTTGAAAATATAAATTTTAAATTCAATTCAATTAAAAATAAACATTTAACAGCTTTCAAGACGTTATTTAATATTACGAACATTTTAAATATCACAATTGCATAAACTCCATTTCAATATCTACAATGTCGCTCTAGATTAGAAAGGATAACGGGCATGCAGGAAGCGAAATCGCAGGAAATAATACGTTGCAATCGGGTCTCCTTCGTTCCTATCAATTATTCTGTCTTTCGTCGTTACGCGATGTTATTTAGCGACTACATCGGCGTGGCGAAGCGTTCGGTTAAGCCCTATGTTATCGTTATCGCCATCATCCTGTCCTGCAAAAACGAGAAGCCGCCGTTCTTTTCAACCAGCGACTTTTACGACGCCAGTCGGCTTACTGTCCCGGCAGAAACGCTTGCTCCTTACACGCGCCGAGATGATACCATTAATATGTGTAGTTGCACATTCTCGATATGTAAACTCGATCTAATCAGCATAACTAGCCCTTCACAACGTTCCTAACGAGCTTCGTAAAATTCCCACCTTCCCCTATCTTGCTCCTTTTCTTCCCGTCGTCTTTCATTCCAATCATCCTCCTACTCGAGGAGATCACCTGGAGCGAGGAACTTGAGAGTGCACCCAACCGACCTGGCACTATAAAACTTTAAACCGTTTTAGAAAATCTCGTTATCTGTTAGATACCAAATTTAATGAGCGTTGAACACTCAAGTAATTCCGCGAATTGAATCAGTTGATAATCGTCATGCATGAATGCACTGGTTCGTGGGACTTGATCAGTGAGATAAAAGTTAATCAGTACAAGAGAGACTTTTTTAAGATTGATTTTTCGTTAAAATTGCTTCGTAACGTTTGATATTTTTCAATTGATATTTTCTATTATTTTTCGAGCAAGGACTCGTAAACATTGCGAATATATGTATGTACGAGCTGTACGACAGAACTGTCGTCGCTATCTCAGTGAAATCCAACCAATCCTGTGTTGTTTTATTAATTCTAGTAGAGTCTTACGCAGTTTACTAGATACCTACTTGAAAATATTATTACAAATACGAATCTTGCATATACACCTAAGTAAGTATCTCATACCTCGAAACAGCTCCACGTTTCATATTTCTTAATTGTTCTTACGATAAAGCTACTCCTTTATACTTCGAAGGAAAATAATACGATATACACGATCGTTACGTTTTTCGCTCTCTCGCAATACTGCTCGGATTACGCCTCGTTAATGGAAGACGAGAATATTGTTGCGTGTCCCGAAAAGGCAATAAGAAGATCGAAGATGTTCATGGCGGGATGCAAGGGTGAAAGTATGTTAAAATGTGAAAGCCAGCCGCTAATTAATACTTTTTTTTTAATCCGACTTTATATTAATTTTATTTGTTTATAGACGTAATCGGTAAGCGATAAATGACTTCTGCGAAGTGCGTTGTGCGCGTGTCACCGACGGAAGCGTCGTTTACATTCGAAACGACGGAAACTTTCCAGTGTAATTACAAATGTCGCGGAAAAGACCCGAGATGTCATTGCATAACTTGACGGTGTGCTAATGAATTTTTACTTATCACCGGTTCCGCAAGATCCAAATATTACGGCACCTGTTGACAACGCTTTTAACCTGATCTGTTCGCAAAAAATCCCAGGTCACTGTTGATTCTCTCCATTTACTTTCACCACGTTTCGTTTCTAGATTCGATACGGTTGCAGAAACTACCGCGATAACTCATTATTAATGTTTGAACGGTAGTCATGTATTAATAGCTGACAGATCGTTAGTTATATTTGCGGCTATTGTACATAAAATCTCGTGATATTTACAGTTTCAAAAATATTTATCTCAAGTATGAAAAAATTGAAGTAAAATTAATGAAGCGTAAAATTATATAATGGTAGGTACAAAATATGTAATAAAATACGATAGAAAGTTTGTAGTTTTCTTTTAATCTCTTCTCTCTTTCTCTAATGTTTATAAAATAGAAATCAATTATATAGACATTGGATTAGAAAAGAGACGTGTAAATATTTATAGAATCTGCAACTAAACTAGTATATACTTTTGAAACTTATAAAGTGAGATAGGTATGTTATTTGATATTTAGCGAAAACGAGAAAGAGTCTTGTAGTGCAGTTTAATGCAAGAGTAAAAAAAAAAAAAAAACATCTGTAGTTAGAATAATTTTTAATCGCAGAAATATAATGAGTTTACAGAAATTTAGAAATATGTTTTATCTTTATAATAAACAGTAATTTATAAGTCTAAGAAGAATGCAAATTATAAATATACTTATAGGATTCTTTATTAAGTTTAAAGCAAGTTATTTTTAACATTGTTGTAATCAAAGCTTGTGGATAATCTACAATTTATCGAATCTGTGACTATTGGAGTGCATCTTTCAGAAGTGATCTAAAACGACAATGTGTTATCTGGTATCTGTCAATTCAAATTAAGATGTACATATGCGTTCGTTCATCATAACGTACGTGCAATGCATCGATTGTAATTAACCTTTACGGATGGGACAGCCATTACAGTGATGCTGAAAGTTAATTTTAAAGCAAGGAATACTGGCAATGAAATAATGAATTATAATGTCTTATTCAGGAAAATCTATAAGACTTTAAAAATAGACCGACGACTACCATGGGCGTAGCCAGGAGAAAGTAAAAGAGTGCTATTGTTTTCTAAAAAATTTTAAAAAACAAAAATAATTAAAATTGCTTAAACGGACTATGTTTAACGTATTGACAAAAAATAAATTAAAAAAAAAAAATAAATTAAAGATAAAAGTTATAGAAAATTTTTTGAAAATCCAAGACGGCTATAAGTGTTATATATATTTAAGTTTTTCCAGTTCGAAGAATCAAAGTTTACAATTTTAAGAGAAAAAGATAAAGTAAATTAGTAAACTAAATGTGATTCTCTGATATTTACCTGCCAGCGCAATTAATTAAAATATTGTAATATGATAGAAAATAACAACAAAATACCATTCGACTATTCTTCTCCCCTGCAAGGTTCAACAATTTCAATTGTAATTTGGCCTCTCCCTTAAACAAAATCTTGGCTACGCCCATGCTCCGACCCTAAAGGTTAATACAAATTATTATACTATATATCGCATTGGTCATGTGCGCTCGTAAATCTCGAATTTCAACACCAATGGTCGGTAACGCAAGAGTTTTCATAGTCGATATTACGCACACGTCTTCCACGGTAATAAGTGCGGAGCGAAGAACTACTTGGCCGAGTCATTAATGCATCATTGGATCACGGGGGGAGAACACGGTACTAGTCGATTAGAAAACCGTTCTAACTATATGTGCGTTCGCACCTTGTTTCACGCATGGATCGCCGCCGGCCATCCTCATTAACGAGACCTCGCATTATCGGCTGCGTCGTCGAAGTTTCTAAAGAGCTCGCGTTTATATCCTCTAAAGCCTGACACGAGACTATCGCGATCGCCTGCGGATTCACATACGTGACTGGCGTCACCGTTGATGAAAGCCTTCGCTATTCTAATTGACTGATGGATGAGGAGCTATGACTAGCACGCGCAATCCGTTGAGTCAAAAAGATGACTAAACTAGCTTTTATAATTTTATAATGAAGCAAACCTTGACTTTCATTGTTAGCTCATCTTTTATTTGCGATTGTATTTTAGAGATTCACCACATATGACGTTTTAAAACCTCATCCCAAAAATTTCATATAAAAGAACAGTTGTTGCAAGATTTAACCTTTATTAACATCTTAACTCCTTGACTTTGTCATATCGAATCATTGAATAAATTCCTATCGTATATTCTTTTGCAAGAAAAAACGACACTGTATCAGAATCGCTATTTTCAACTTTTTCATTTTCTCGATTAACATTGGAGGTCGTATCTATTACGGATAAGTATAGAATGTTCAGACGACTGGGAGCTTCTTGCGCCGCTCGATTCTCTTTTCGTTTTGTACTTGAGAACTCGATGGAATAACGAGAAATAAGAAAGGGTTGAAAAAAGAAGCAACAGTCATCGGGTACGACTTTGTATTTCGTTGCCGTTAATGTCATCTCCGAGGAAGGCCACGATGCGAAACCCGACGCAGATTAGCGATGTAGGGTGCAAGTCTCAGTACTGCGAACCTTTGTCCTCTGGTAGCAAGAAATAGATCGTCACATCACCCCGAGGCGTCTTCACGATCTCGCGGTGTCGGATAAGCTGCGTCGCGGCCAGTCCATACATCAGAGTAGGGATACCTGGTACATCGAACAAATGTAAGGGGACAAAAAGTCGGAAAGGGGGATTATCAAGTCGTCGCATTGCTGAACCCGTTCGCCATGGCTAATTCCAGATCGGTAGAGCACTCAATAAGACAAGACATTGGCCGTGGAAGGACAACGTGCTCGTCGTCCCACGTTCCTTCTCGTATGTCGGAAATTAAACCGAATAAGACCGCGGTCTGTGTTGCGACGCCTTGTTCCGATCGTTGCTTTCGATACAGACTGAATTCAATTAATCAAGCGGCGGTAGCTGTGAATTTACAGTGAGTCTCACACAGTCTCGGGATTGCCGATCTTGGTGGCAAAGAAATTTTTTCACGAATTTCTGTCAGTATTTTTGTTAAAAATTTTTGTGATGCTGTCATACATATAACTTTAATCTCAACTTTTAAATCAAGATTGTAAAAAAGAAAATGAAAATTTCTCTTGTAAGAATTTAATTAAATTGAATTTTCTGAACCCCCCCTTTTCTTTTATTTTTGATCATCAAAAATAATTGATACACTAACAAAAACTGCAAAATTTTAATATATAATTCTTTGAGTAATACTAAATAAACATTTACTTACAGTAAATAAATATTTACTCGATAAAAAAATTGATAGTTAAATCAAGTTAATGGTTTTTGTATTAAATAAATATGTGTTAACATTTAGTAAATATTTACTCAAAGAACTATTAAAAAGAGTATATTTATTAAAATGCAGTTTTTCACTGTACGTTTTCTGCATTTCAATTAAAGTAATAACCCTTATAGATTTTAAAAAGCACTCAAAGAATCTCGTTAGAATTAATATCGAAGATTCCATGACATCTCGTGTTCGCGGTAATTATAGGATTTACGAGCTCGCCGGTTTATCGCATCCGACCGGAGTAAATGAACAAGGCCACCTTTTCGAACGCGGATTCCTTTTCTTCACGAGCGTCCGGCTACCCTTGCAACCTACCAAGGTTCAATATCTTGATCGCCTTGAAGAATCTGTCCTCGCCACTGAGATCCTGCATCGGCCGCTTACTGCAGTGATACTTGATGTACGGGAAGCAGCCGGTCCTAAGTACGTGGTAATTGCTGCCGCCCGCTGGCCAATTGAAGTGTGACATTCCCCGCTGATCATTCACCACGTCGGCGTATCGGACGAAGTACGAAGTCCAAGGGGGTTCGCCGGTTTGCAATAGGTAGCTCGTTAGGACCTGTGTTGCAGATACCGCAATCACGTCGGGTCACTTTGTGCACGCTGACTGATCGAGGAAGTATCCTCGGGGATCATCGCGAGCACGCGGGACAAAGTCGCGACCGTTACATCCCGTTACGACGTCTCTTCCTCGACGCGTCGACTCGTTAACACCGCCGTCAAGCTGGCCCTTCCGGCTTTCCGTGTGTATAGAAGAAATTAACCCGTCGCAAGGAAAGTATGAAAAGGAGGGATTTTAAGAATTTGCGCATGCCATTCGGAAACGACCAGCCAGTCGCTATAATGTCGTTTCTCAACGCACTATCATATTACTTGTATATTTGCCGTTTCACGTTACCGCAGGACGGATTAAATTGCACCGGCAGAAGTAACTTTGCACCACAGTATAAAATAAGATTCTAGAATTATCCAATATTCAAAAAAACAAAAAAAAAGGAAGAATTGCAACGGATACTTTACGAAGATTTCAAATTTATGAATAACAATACATACTTATAACAATTACATACAAAAGTTTCTATTGCGGCACGGATTAAAGCAATTTTTAAGTATGATATCGAACGCGAAGTTATATATTTAATAATAAATAACTTTAATAAAAGAGTCATCTAATATCTGCTTAAATAAAATGCATGTCAATTTTATAAACAATATTTAAAACCGCAAAAATGAGCAATTTTCCTACATTTAGAGAAGTAAAAATATAAATTGAGTTGCTCCATCTCCGGAGAAGTTTTATACCGCAAATTTATTTCAAGATGGCAAGAACGCTCGGAAAGTAATTTGCAATTTGTGCAATTATTCGATGGGATACACAATATACTTGAAACGATGGATTCTTGGGGTCTGTTCGACTGGGAAGAATCACGTGCTTATCACGATCGTGCGATCGCGTAGTGCCGCGGGAATGGAGACACGCGAAGTGTAACACAAGTGTGTATTGTTATGTAACAAAGTATCCGGGGAAAGTGCGCAGAGCTCCTGAGAAAGAGAAGATCTCTTTTGGATCGAGAAAAAATACAACGCGTAAGATAATTAGGGGAGTGGCCGGATTCATGAGAAACCGAGAGACCCACTAACCTCTGAAGCCAACGGTTCCTTCTTCTTCCGGAATGTCTTCATCCAGAAATTAACATATCTCGTGGTGAACAGTGCTCTCGATTCGATACTTGAGTTGATTATCCGTGATTGCATTTCACTGATCAATTCCTGATCAAATCTGCGCGATCTTTATTGATCTTAAATTTTATAAACAAATTTTGTTGCTTAATTAAAGTAGTTTCTTTTAAATTACAAATCGTAAAATGAAAAGATACTTATCAAACATAATAGAATTCCTCCTTTTGAAAATAAATAATGTTATAGGAAAGAGAACTCGATAAAATATTTTATTTTTTATGCTAAAACACTGACATAACGAGAACTATAACAACAATAATTAAAAATTAGATCAGAAATTTAAAAAGAAGAACAAATTTTGAGATATTTTTTCATAAATAAAGTTGCAAAGGTCTAAGCGATTTTCAAATCAATGAAAGTGAAGAGATTTTAGTTAAATTTCATAAACATTGAAATATTTCATATTCTTAGTTAATTTTACTTTAATAAAAGTATCGGAAAGAGCTTTAGAAGGTATGAGAAAGAAGGAATAAAATTTTTGTTGTCGAGAGAAAACAGTCAATTTAAGAATATGCTGTTGAAAAGAGCGGTGATGCTTTTAGGAGAGTCTGTACATAAATAGACGATGATAGAAGTAATCGCATCATATATACTCAATAGTATCGCTTATCGACCCGCAGGGTAGGAATTCGTCATGGGACGTGTCGTTCTGCCTTTCTAAAATAAACGCGCGGTAAGAGAGTCGCTCAAAATGTCAAGGTTAACAAGGTTCAGTACGATCGCACGGTGGAAGCGATCGTGTGTCCCGCGGTGTAACGTTAGCGTTTCTGTCTTTTACGCGTGTTCGCGTCAGAGCGGAATGAGTAACAACGTAATTGATGGCGCGCGCGCGTCAACTTTTGCACATCAGCGTGCGTGAATTCGCCGCTATGCGGTTCTGATTGCTTCATCGAGGTAGTCGCGAAGTTCCAGGAATACTTTGAGCGATGGGTGTCGTAATTGTACGAAGTTGGATTACCAGTTGATGCTCGACACGCCGCTATTCACGCTATGTAGTTTCATCACATTTGAAAACGTTCAATTTTGCCGCCAATTTTTACTAACAATTGTTTAAAGCCCATTTCCATTAATATAGTATATATTAACTCTTAAAGGCCTATTTTGTAACTCTTAGTAACGACTGTGATCTTGTAGCGTTATATTTTTTGCGCAGCTTTTTTACCATGTATAAAACCTACGCAATGACACTGTAACACTACAGTTACAGTCGTTAAGAGTTACAGAATAAGCTCTGTAATCTCGGTTTAACTTAACGATATTCACAGATTATTTTTGTTTCAAGACCATCTGAAGTAATGTCTTAGAATGTTAATCCGTGATTGGTTTATGACATTTTATGACTGTATTGGTTTTAAATATAAGAACCGTTTGAATACCGTTTACAGAAAAGATGAAGAATAAATCGAACCAAAATTAAAGTTATAACTTATATTAGTGAAAACACAGATATTAGTGAAAAGATACTGATCCTACGTTGTTCAATTAGTATAAAATTCTTTCGAGATCTATGCGCACTTATTCTTAAATGGCAATAGAAAGTGAATACTTTCTACTGCTTAATAATAGTCAGATAATCGGAATTGCATAGATTGAATCTCGTGTTCTTACTCACGTTTCGAATTACGATGGGGCGATAACTTTCTGATCTAATTCTTTCTTATTGTTACGATAGCACTTGAAGAATATATATATCGCACTGCGAATTTAAATTAACTTTGTGCAGTCGCGTTTGTGGCATTTCATACTTTTCTGCTGTCGATATCAATCAAATAAATACAATACAATACACGTTTCTAATTAGTTCTTATCTATCTTACGATTTCTTTTCGATATTAATTCTGTAAAAATCATAATAAATATCTGTGTACGAAAAAGCTAGAAGTCTTTTGCTAAGATTTCCAAGATTCTACTACGTAATTCTAGTAAAATCTGTTGTATCTATACCGCTGCTCACTCTTTCACGCGTGCGCGAGTCTTTTGTGTCGGCAAACAGATGGCTGCAGTCATTGGACCAGTAGATGTTGCTCGGTGCTGTTCACTTGAGGACTCTAGAGCTGTACTTGGTACAAATGTCACAAGTATCGACACTCGCGATTTAGAGCGCGCGTATTCTTGCACGGATACACAAGGCATACAATTGTTTTCTTTCACGATTGGATGAAAATACAGACGAAGATAAAGTATTACGTAGCATGTGCTACCCGGTGGTTACATAATTGGCGTGACACGGAACTCAGAGCGCCATCGTCGTTCAGTATCGATTCTGTATAGCGCATGGCGGTCTCTTTGAAAGGTTTTCTCCGTGTTTAGTATTCTTTGGATCTTTTGCGCGCAATTCGTATGAAAGATTGAAACCAAAGTGAGAGTAAAGTCCTATGAAATTAATCTTTGACTTATTCACTTGAAAAATTATGTGATATTACATTTTTGTTGTTTTTTAGTTTATTTTTGGTATTGTATTGTAGTGTTTTCTTTAAGAAATAAACATGAAAATCACGATAAAACATCGTCAAATTGTCATAATAACCTATAAAGAATAATAATTTTTTAAAAGAATTATATGAAACAAAAATAATAAAAATGACATTTGATCATTTTTAAGAATTTTTTTTTTTCAAAGAGAAATAGTATATTTATATATATTATATAATTAGTCAATAATTTTCTATTAAATTAAAAAATATTTTCTCTTTTTTGAGTTGTTTGAAATAAGAGAGCGATATTGTAATTAAAAATTTGTTTATTACAAAATACTTTTTGGAAATGGAAATTAATTATAATCTTACGTGCGATTCTTTCAATTTTAAGTAATCCCTTAATTCCGCCGTATATACTTTGTATTGAAAAGATTAAAATGCAAATCAAAGTTACGACGACCCAAGATAATTTGTTGCCATGTGTTTTATGTACCATTGTTATACTCTCTATCCCATAATTTTCACGCGACAGGCGTGGCGGTCCTCACTAAAGCATTCCCTTCAATAAGACCGTCCAATAATAGACCATTAAGAAACGCGGATGAGAAACCCCTTCTAAGCACTTCCAGGTGGTAAATATACCGCCGCGGCCTCGTGGCATGAGGTCAGACTGTCCAAGCAGCAGCCTTGACGGGCTATCATTCTCGACGAACTTGCGGTACATCTTGTTTTCTCATCTCCATCCACGCTGGCTCTTTTTCTCGTGTTTACATCGGTTGGAGCCACGTCTTCTTTTTAAGAGTGGTAAAACGATTTCGATACGACATTTCGATAAGCACGGATCATAAATCACAGATAAGGACGATAAGAAAAATTGTATGGTGTTTCTTCACCGAGTATAACGACTTTAGTGCTTTGTTTAGTTCTTGCGAGAGTAACTTTATGTCCTAGTTTAAAAGTGAAACTGAAAAATAAAACAAGTTATATCCAAGAAAACAATTTCTAGATTTTAATTATGGCGTTCTTTATTTGGTCTGTAAGTATAAGACTTCTTTCTGAAATGTCGAATTCGTTTATAAATAAATTGTGATTACTCTCTATATATTCAAAGGCGATTATTTCTGCGTAATGATTTTACCATTTATATGGTCCAGATTGTTTTTTTTTTTTCGCATTCTCTCAATGAAACCACTCGTGATGTTGTTTTTCGCCACCGGTAGATATCGATTCGGAGTGAACTACAATATTAACGCGATTTGCATGTATTTATAGGTATTTGAAGGTCGAAGCGTGTCTAGCTGACATTGTCAGCGTTGCACTTCCGCTAGCGTAATTTATCGTGCATATCACCGTCCGATTTGCTCATGACACATTTAGCCAGCCAATTTGGAGTAACGCGTTTACGTCACACGACCCAGTTAACACAACGCGTTTCTAGGCTATCAACGTGACATTAACAAATGATAAATCTCGTTCATTTAGTTGTTGTTCGGGACGACAGAATGGCTGCGACCTGGAGAACAGCCGCTTCACAGAATAATCTTCGCGATCTTTCCCTCGACGCATTATGTCCGTTATGATTCGGACGGTATTGTGAATAGTTATCTTTGATGTACCTCTTTATGCACCGCGCTTTTGTAGGTACATACGTATCACTTTCATCAAGTTTTTTTTATCTTGCTCGTGAAACTATGCCAAAAGAATAATTACTCATACTTTACGAATACCTGATGCTCCAAATTTTAAATGAACGATTTTGTTCGTTTCTGATTCAACAGGTAAGACGACTTTTTTTATGTAACGTACTATGAATATTTACGAATGCAAATAGCAGAAACGTTATCAGTCTTCTTTTGCATCGTAAATAAATCCAGAATAGTACTCATAATTCGAATCGGAATGCACGTATCGTTACGTAAAACTGGCGATAGAGCCGCTTTAAGTGAAACTACACCTCGTGGATGATAGCATCATCGAGACGTCGCTTTCGTTCTGTTTCAAATGAGTGCCATCCCGGTGGCTATAACGCAGCGAGTACACGTGCGAATCCGGACTATTCGTAGAGAGTCTTACCATTCTACGTTGAGGATTCCCGTTCACGATCACTCCGAGCTTGCGTCTCCGGTTGCCACGCCTAGGATCGTTTTCGCATACCGTCGCGACTTATACAGCGTCCTATAAATTACGACCGTATCTCATTAACATCCACGTGTTTATTATAGCTGCGCTATACGCCATTAACGTGCACGAGTGACGACGGGGGATGCTTAAATCTAACAGGGTTTCTCCAATATTCTTGTCTTTTCAACTAGGAAATTAACGTTGCGTTAAAAATCTCCCCAAAATTTAAGTCTTTTGCATGAGAAAAAGAGGAAAGATGCAAGGATTTTATGTAGCACAACGATGGCACAAATGAAACCTACATAGATTCTTGAATTTTTCCTCTTTTTCTCTTACAAAAAGACTCAACTTTTGGAGAGAATTTTAACGCAACGTTAATTTTTTAACTAAAGATTCAAGTAATAAGGCTACATTTTCCATGTTGTATCCCTCATGTCATAAAGGCAAATATTCAGAGGCAGAAATATTGATACTCGA